TAAATAAAAGGAAACGTTCTTTGATCGAAATTTGGATTAAATTTGAGAACAGAATTTTTAGTTATCTTTCGCAATTTATACGCAATACGATGACGATTAAAACAGATGTCCGCGTATCTACTTTTATAAAACAAACGGCGTAGGAAAAAGTCTTTTGACAGTTTTCTTTTTCAACAATAATCCTTTTCGCTAGATCGATGTTATTTTTTTTCTAGTTAAAAAAACGTGTGCGCCATTATCGCTAGAGTAGATTTTACTTTTCCTTTTCCTGTCTCCGGAGGGAAAAGTGTTATGAAAATACAACAATGTAATTTTGCACTCAATAATAGGGTTATTTCCTTTATTGCGCCATGAAAAATAATACTTCTCCACATAAAATAATCTACTACCCCTTACCTTGCAGAAGTTTGTCCTTTTAACTCCTATGCCATGGTTATGAAATTCCAATCCTAACGCTGTGGTTTAATTGAACTTCAATAAATACGTATCATTTTAGTTGCTCTAATATCGTAAGTAAAGCAAAAGTAAATTCAAATTTTCCTAGCAATTTTCTTTACATGTTCCCGGATATGAAATATTGGTTTGATTCATAAAAAAGAAATACAAAAAAAAGCAATGCCTATTTCCTGATAAATTTGATCCTTATCTATAGTATATTAAGATACAAGTGTATAATCAAGTCTTTAAAGCACGCGCAACTGCGGAGTGCCTTTAACGTTGCAAGTGCTTTAAAGACCAATTATACACGTGTATCTTATAGTATTTTTTATTATACCTGCAGTATAATTTAAAAATAGAAAATACAATGAAGTCATATTGACGTTATACTCGAATACATGTCTAATTAAGTGGCCTGGGTGTTCGTAATTTCACGATTGCCATGGAAATGTCACTTGACGTTTGCTTATAAAAATCATCGTCTTTGTGAATTAAACGATTTCCGTTGAAAAAGATAATACACCGTCCATTAAATCGATTGTCGTAAAATCAAAACAAACGTTGGTAGGTGTAAAATCCAACTCCAGTAAAGCCTATTATAAAGAATATGAAAAGTTGTTTCCATTGATGAATAGGAAGTTACTTACGAATACAGTCTTAAATGCATCCATAATGCTGGCATATATGAAGGAAATGTCAAAGGTATTTAAATCTTCTATCTTTTGGAGCATTCATTCAAAACTTTAAAGCAATGCTGCGATTAAAAAGTGGAACAGATTTGGAAGCATGCCCTAAATTACGCGCGTTTGTGAAAGCTTCAACCAAAGGATAGGTACAAAAGCCAAAGAAATGTTCTGCATTTACAGAAAGCGACCTAGGAGGATTTTTTATTTCATCCAGATGACAGTTTCAAAAGTCATACTTGAAGTATCGTTACTTAGCAACTTTAAAGCACGTGTGTTTTAAAGGCCCTTTTTCGCACGCATTTGAGTGTTTAAAACGGAGATTGTGTTTCAGGTATAATAAAATAGTTATTTATATAACAAGAGCGCGAAGTTCAATTTCGCGCATTGAGACTGAAGGTATTTTGACGAGGCGAAGCCGAGTTAAAATATCAGTCAAATGCGCGAATTAACTTCGCGCTAGCGTTATATACAATATTTTTTCTACAACTGAACCGATTGTTAATTAAATTTGCTGTTTAAGTTCAACTTTGTCCCGCGCGCGAAATACTTTTTTTTCACTGTTGACGATTTCGCGCACGTTGTCAAGAGCAACCTTACTTATTAATTAACCGATTAAAAATCTAGTACTTCGCGGTTCGAAATCCGTCAGAAAATGACAGGTTTTTTTGACAGTTGTAGAAAAAATATTTTATCTCTACCATATGATAAATCCATGGTTCATTCTCTTGGTCCAAATACGCATACACACACACACACACACCCCTGGAATACGAAACAAAATTTTAATTCAACCAAAGGAAATTAAATGCAATTCTCAACCAATGAAACCAAATAATTCAAACCCTGAAGTACAAATCTGTTCATGGAAATAATTCTCATGGATTGAACCCTTTAGGAAAAATTAAAATTACTCACTTCAAACAAAATCAATATACAAACTCCTCAAAATATCCGACCATTATTTTATACAATTAAACAAAAATTAAAATAACCTACAGTTATTATTGTGGGTGACATTCCTTTCTGCTGTGGATTGATCTGATCTCTCCTTGGAAAAATTAGTTTTTCAGTTAAATATCGAAATAAATCGCTCTTGTGCGGTACAGCTAAACTGCACCACCCCTGTACGTTATTTTCGTGATGAATGCCAATTTTGATGGAAGGAAAATTGGTATAAATGGCAAATCCAAATCAATCAGTTTCAAAATTCCAGAAAGTAATACTCGAGATCGTTGTTATTTATGCAGAGATAAAATTCCACTTTTCTACTGTATTGATATTGGCTAATTTATTACTAGGTTTTGATGCGATGAAGTTGCACCATAGTTATTTGTACAACTAGTTTTGAAAGTGATACTTTTTTTCATGAATTTGCAGTTTCATGCAAATGCATGGAAAAAAGACACTTTCAACACGTGTTGTACACGAAATTTTTTTCATAGTGATCCATAATAAACCGCAATTGAATAATTTTATTGACATTCGCGATTTACTGTCACTCAAAAATGGAAAATAGACAGGACTAAACTCCATGGAAACGCATAGTAAAAATCGTGAAAAAAGTACCACTTTCCATACAGTTTTTCGTTAAAAAAAGTCCGATAATTTCATCACTATGTAAAAAATTAATTATCTTTAACATCTTTACCGTATGCCGTTATACACAGAGGTTTTATTCTGGTTCTCGAGATGTAAAACTGTAACTTCCGAATCAATTGATTTTACTTTCACTTAAGTACCTATATTAATATGAACTTTGCACTAAGTTCAAACGACCATACTATGATCAGACCGCTAAAAAAGTACAGTAGCGGCCAAAAGTTTATCATAATTTGATTTTTTCATTGTAATACTAGGATTTACTACGGTTGGCAATAAAATATTATTATATTCTTAAGAGTGATATGAAAAACAATTCGAGTCAGTCAGATATTACTTGTTGTAGGGGTGTTTCATTTTTTTAAAATTATTTATTAACATCTGGCAATTCTATGGTAATAGTACCATGAAAAGTAATTGCCGAAAAACTATATTATGTGATAAACTTTTGGCCGCTGCTGTAACTAGGAATTTGTCACCAACCCAAATCTTAGGAGTTCTCGCTACTTAATATGTTTTTAACCGCTGATTCTTTACTATTATTATTTGTATAAAATTCACTCAATAGAATGCAAGTTCCAGTTCTTGAAATCGAACCACGAATACATACGCGCAATAAAATCTCTCGTACAAAAAAAGGTCTGCTTTTATAACTTCTCTAACAATCCAATTTTAACGCACTAAAAATGGTGCACAATGGTTCGCGAAAAACAATTTATAATAAATTTTTAGCAGTAAAAAACTCAGGCACAAACAGTGTACGCGATTTCCTCTTCGAAATTAATTTTTAACGCAACCAAATAGTAAATAGTACGTTTTGACTCACCAACTCTAGCACGAATCTAATCTAATCCCCTATCATTATTTTGCAATGGTGTGCGGACAAATTGCGCCCGGATAATTCACGTACGGACAATTCGCTCCCAGATTCCAGAACAATTCAATCCCAAGACAATTCACGCCCGGATAATTCGATCCTGGACAATTCTCTCCCAGGACAATTTACCCCCATAAAATTCGCATTGCTCCCGTAGAATTCTGTAACGGTGTTAGTTGGTATTTTTAATAATTTTTAAGGCTTATTGCCAAACGAGTGGTTGGTATTGAATGTCCGGGTACGAAAGCGTAGAAGGGACAAGGCAGTTCAAATTATGTAATCCCGAGATATAAGTCGGGATTATACGTAATCCCTCGCGTAATCCCGAGATGTAAGTGAGGATTATACTTAATCCCGAGATATAAGTCGGGATTATACTTAATCCCGAGATATAAGTCGAGATTATACATAATCTCGAGATGTAAGTGAGGCTTATACTTAATCCCGAGATATTAGCCGGGATCATACGTAATCTCGAGATGTAAGTCGGGATTATACTTAATCCCGAGAGATATAAGTCGGGATTATACGTAATCTCGAAATGTAAGTGAGGATTATACTTAATCCCGGGATATAAGTCGGGATTATACTTAATCTCGAGAATTAACCCCGAGATATAAGTCGGGATTATACGTAATCTTGAGATGTAAGTACTTATATCTCGGGATTAAGTATAATCCTCACTTACATCTCGGGATTACGCGAGGGATTACGTATAATCCCGACTTATATATCTCGGGATTACATAATTTGAACTACCTTGTCCGTTCTACGCTTTCGCATGCGGGAGCCAATTTTCTGGTCGCGGATTGTACTACAACATTCTCCCTTATTTCTTCATTAGAATTTTATTTTCTTGTACATTTTCTCTATTTCACTATCTTCTATTCCCTCCCATTTCTGAATCCATCACCTTACTAATGAAATTAATGCAATTACACCGCATTCCAATTTACCCTGAGCTACTTCCTTGAGGGAAAACACTTTAGTGATTAAAACGTGACGTACCTTTTCAATTTAAGGAAGCTCTCTGAGCCAATGAACCAATGATGTACAATTTAGCATTTATGTAGCCAATGGATTTTAGCTCATTTACGAAAGAAAGTTGCAGTATTATTAGTGTCCATTTGCCCGCCTTCGCGTCGTTTTCGTCTAAGTTAGATGGATCTTCGTCAAATGGTTGCCTTAGGATTGGTCCATCTCCAGTTTTATTTGATTGTACCGGCGATTATCAAATTCCCAAAAGTCTCGAAAAATGTGTTGATGTATACTGTACCTACCCCCTGTTGTACAGAAACTGTTGGTATACACATTATTTGGTCCATTAAAACTTTCTTAGGGTGTCGTAAATCTTCGTTCAGTATAAGATCACATCCGGCTTTTATCAAGTGTCATAAATAAAAGATTCGTTTAAATCATCTGTCACAGTTTCAGTGGATTTGTTTTTGTTTGGGAAATTTAAATAAGTGACGTTTTCTTCGTCAGGACTTGAGGGATGAAATACACACATTCATGTAAGTACCTACAATTGATCTCATTATTGAGTATTTATATAAACACATCATCGTGACTTAATTAATAACTTCTCGCTTCTTGTAAACAGTAATGATTCCTGCATTTCGTTAAAAAATGACAAGATAATTTTTGCATAGCGCATTGATTCCCTTTTGCAGCAGTGAACTTCATGTTGAAGTATCAATATCCGTGATCGGGTAAGTAAAGAATGTCTTCGAGAAACGACCCTTGGGCTATACGCCAATTAAGCAGTGTCAGTAGCATTGACAGCAGTACTGGCACGACAGAAATCGATCACAGTTCGTCCAGCTCCAGCGTAAGTTAGAGACTCCCTTCTGTATTTACCCTGGCCCTTAGTTTTCAGTCCATTCTCGTGGAACCAAGTCAACTTCTGACTTACCGATAAGAAATCGAAAATTTAATCATCGCGATTGCAGTAAGCGCAGTAATAAGCTTAGATCGGAGCACTATTATGAAATCAAACCTAGATCGGGGGGTGGTAACCCGAGGCAGCCCTTTGTGTGTTCACTGTATGTCACAACGCACGACTTGGTAAAAGGAAACGCGCGTCTAGATCTGGGCCTCGAGTCGCTCATTTCGAAAACGCGAAAGATAGTCACGGGTCAAATTCGTCTTCAGAAAACACTTTGCGGGCTCACGATCTCCTTTTCCAAAGAGAGTGATGTGGAGAGTGTCTTAAAGTTGCCCTTACAGGATATTTTTCGGGGACCAGTTCAGGTGGCAAGATTTATTACGGGAGAATACAGGTATCGGTCACGAGTACTGATTAAAGATGTACCGTGGTGCATACCGAAGGCTGAACTGGAAAAGGCGCTAAGAAAGCAGGGCATTCGTACGAGTAAGGTGATACGGACCAAAACGCACGTGACGGTCGAGGTACGCAACGCGTTAGAAATGCAGCGGTTGATCGACGAGGGATTGAACTTCTTTAACTGTACGTCCTTCAGTGCGATTCCAGAAAAGTATACGAACCAAGGAGAGTCCGACATTATTCAGTGCTTCAAATGTCAGGGGTTCTGGCACACGTCGACCCATTGTCGGTACGGGCCCCGGTGCGTCAGATGCGGCGAAAATCATAGCGTCGAAACTTGCCCCCATCCCCGTAGTACGCCGATTTGCTGTCATTGCGGTGGTTCTCACCATGCGGCGTACAAACTTTGCCCAGTACGTTTACGACTTGCCAATTTGACTTCTGTTGGATTCCAACTTTCGAAAGGGAACTCGTATCGAAATCATTTGTTTTAGGGGCGCTATTTGCAACAAAACTGGAACGTGTGTAATTGCCCATGATGGTCAATAAACAATATCTGTGTCCTGTATTTTCATTTGCAAGACTGTAATTTAATTATTTATCGCGAACTGCCAACGTATTAAATAACCAATGCTCATACCGCGTCGGTGTTTCATAATCTTTGACATGAAGGGAAAAATTACTTATTTTAAGGTAATTTGGTACGCATTTAGATCTATCTAACCGAAAATTCTTCCATTTTTGAAAAATTCAATGTTTAAAGTGTTTCTAAGATGTTCCATTCTATATTTGCGCATAGGGTTCGGGATTAGTGTTAAAATCTAGGTAAAAATGTTTATATTGTAGACCACAAGTGTTCGTACATAAGCCAATGCATAATCTTAGGTCGCCTTAACCTATCATTCGTATTGAAAATTACATACACTTTATCTGTCATAAGAAATCTAAAGTGCCAAAATACGTATAGGAGACATGCCGCCATATAGCCTTAGGCAAACCAAGAGGCTCCAAAACTCAAAGTTACTAGACATTTTATTACTGGTTTTACTATCTTCGGCCTTTGTTGCAATAAAGGGTTGAAACTTCCCTTCGTGTAACAATGTTTTGAAGTTCTGTACAAAAGAAAATGAATTTTTGCCGTCAGCTAGCCAATTCTTCATCAAATTTTACCTTTTTTTTGTGGTTTTGCTTATTGCAAAGTTTTCCCTTTTCTTCTCACCATAAAAAAGAACAACTCTCGCCATATTAGTGTAGGTATATTGAAAATAAAGTAATTTTCAAATAGTTTCCACATACACCTTAATAATAATAATGCCATTTATTAATCACGTACAGTTATTTTTACGATAAAACATTCTTTACAATACATATATACAATGAACGCAACTAAAAGGGCGAAGTTCAGATGCTAGTGACAAAATTCGCCCATAACCCTGCTCTACCACTTAACCCTTGCCATAATTTTACATCTTAGAATAATTATCAATGAACGTGAAATGATTGAAAAATTATAATTAAAACCATTTATCTTGTACGAGTGCAAAAAAAACCTAAAAGATAACTTTTGTATATTATACTCGACAAATCATTATACAGCTTCGCAATATTATACGTAAAGGACCTTTCGAATAGTGCTGTTTTGTGGAAGGGGGGTGTAGTTTGAATGTAGGGTTCGAGCTAAATTGGATCTTACTATACAAATACCCTGGTGTTTTGCTCCAGATTACTTTGTGAAATAAAACTAGAGAATGTCATTTCCTTCTATTCGCCATATTTAACCATTTCAGATCAGATAATCTATGGGAAATGCGATCATATTTTCTTATTGCGAATATCAGACGCATAAAAGAAATTTGTATTCGTGTATCATAGTAGTTAAAATGAGACAGCCACTATTGAGTCACATAGTTTTTATTTTTTTATTGAGTATGTATCTGTTATCAATTTTAGGTTGGTAAACGCGTTAGATATTATAGAGAACATATGGCGTTTAAATCATAATCCCGAATCAATATATAAATCCAGACTTTTAACACAATCTACGTTTGACAATTGATTGTCTTTGACTTTCACACAAACCTCATGTTTTGCCATATTTCTGGCGTTTATCTTGCCAAATAAAATCGTAGAAGATTTGCAGGCCATGCTCTTCAGATAAATTCACAAGAATTTGACTGTCCTCATTTATATATTTATTTGCAAGTTTCATAGTCAAAGAAATCAAATTGTGTTTGTGTGTCATCAGCATATTGATGAAATTTAGTGTATTTCAGTGATTTTCCAAAATTAGAAGTGTAAATAATAACAACAGCGGTCCGAGTACGGAACCCTGGGGTACCCCTGCAAGAAAATTAGCTAACGACGATTCGTGATCATTTAAAACCGCTTGTTTGGTTCTTTGACTTAAAAATTGTTGTATTTATAAACGGCTATTTTCACTGAACCCGATGTAATGTAAGAGGCTAATTAAAATCTCAATTTCAACTCTGTGAACCATAATCCAACATCTAAATCAGTTCCCATCCTCCTACTCCCATTAAAACTCTCCTCCTACTCCCATGAATAATAATTAATCCTTATAACATAATGCATATTTTACCAGCAATCAAGAAAACGCTTAAAAATTGTGAAAGTAGGCGAAGAAAGTTCCACCCTATCATTTTAGCAAGCAAATATAACCCTTCCACACCCTATTTTATAAGATAAGAATATTGCATAAAAATTGCTCTATAGTACGAGTACCTACCTGCCATTTTCGATTTCAATTAAATTTTCTGGGTTTAAATAAATCAGAGTTGAATCTAGGGGGTTGTAGGGGGTACATTATTTATAGGTTAGGTATTCAATGTGTAAGTTGAAGATAAGGTTGGTATTGAAAAACACGCCCAGGTCCTTAACTGAGGTGACTCTTAGTAAGACCTTTCCAATTCTCTTATAGTTAAACAGTAAGAGATTTTTCGACTTAGTAAAAGTTAAGACCTTACACTTATGGATATTTAGTTTCAGTGTATTTTTGACAGTCACTTACGGATTGGATTTTATTAAAAAGTTGCAGGTCGTCCGCAAATATTTATTTTTTATTTATTTATTTATTTATTTAACCAGAAACCATACAGAATAAAAATTCCAATTACATGGCACTGGGGCTCTGAACAAATATTAGGACTAGGATCTAATTTTATTTATTATTGAATTTAGGGGATCGTGAAAAAAGTCGATATCATTAACTGAGGATAACTTATTTAAAGCGATCAAGATCTTAATAAGTGGGGAAGTTGTGTTGTTAACTACAAAAATAGTATTATTTTGCCTTAGCTTAACAAATGGTACCTTAAGCTTAATTTCTTGAAGTAATTCGGAAGAGTATAACAAGTTGTGTAAAATTTTGAAGACAAAAATTGTGGAGGCAATGTACCGTCGGGTTTCTAACCTCGTTATATCTAAGCCGAAAGTACTATTTAAGTAATTAAGCTGGGTACCGTAAGAGATCAAATGTGGATAATTTTGGGTTGACCTAAAAAAACATTACTCGGATGAACTTTTTCTGCACTTTTTCGATCATGTCTGAGTATTTGAGAGTTTGAGGAGACCAGATACATGCAGCATACTCAAGCTTGGATCTAATAAACGCATTATATAAGGTTAGCATTGTCTGTATATTCGTGAAATTGAGTGTATGCCTGATAACGAAACCAAGAAGTGTGTAACACTTATTTGTTAGGTATTCAATGTGTAAGTTAAAGTTAAGGTTGGTATTGAAAAACACGCCCAGGTCCTTAACGGAGGTGACTCGTAGTAAGACCTTTCCATTCATCTTATCGTCAAAAAGTAAGGGATTTTTCGATCTAGTAATAGTAGTGCTTTTGAGTTTTTTATCACTCTATCTGTATAAACACAGTCCACCTGGGCTCTCTCATCCAAGGCTGCTGCTGTGAGAAATGCGTAAACTGCATTAAATTGGTAATCGTCGTTTTTTGCTTCCACTTTTGTGAATTGGTGTTATTCTGGTGCCTTTCCAAGCGTCAGGAAATGTACACGTTTGCAAAGCTAAATTAAATGGATGTAGTAAGGGGGTTACCTATAAAGATGCGCATCCAGGATGTAGGGTGGGATTACATTTTCGCGCATAGCCGACTTCGGATTCAATTTTTTAATTGCTTCCAGTATCTCGGATTCAATCAAGGCAATTTGGATAACACCAGGTCCGATTCCACGTCATCTTCAAGGCCATCATTCCTCTCAACAGTGTAGACTGACTCGAAGAAGGATGCAAAGGCGTCCGCAATGCTTCTGGGGTCCGTTAACGAGGTGTTTTTGGTTAAAAAAACTCCGTGAAGTTGACTATTTTTCCTCAACGACTTATAGTATAACGTATAGTTCCAGAATTTATTGGAATTCTTCCGCATATCCATTTCAATTTGATTAATGTACTTCTTATGAGCAAAGAGGATCATTCTTTTGAGTTCTTTCCTGGCTTCAATGAAGCCTTCCGATGGGCTCTATAGCCGAAACTTATTTTTCTGTTTGATTTTCTTAATAATGTCTATATTAAACCAAATATGGGCACTCCTATTTCAAACTTTCGGAACACATTAATCGAAAATGTTCATTATTGTTTCATTAAAGTTACTGCATCATCTACCTAGTATGTGAACGTCTTCAGAATAAGAGACTCCTTCCAATTAAATCGCGAAAAAGGACGTACATTTTAAGAAAATCTGCCTTTTTGAAAATTGAAGTTGGTTAATTTGGTAATTCGCTTAGTTGGCCTATGGACTTTGTAGACTATTTCTAGTGCAGGACAAAATGGGTTAATTTTATCCAGTGAGTCGACAGCGGATTTAATTTCCGCGTTTAATGGCCGTTTGCACCGACAAATTTAAGTGGAGCTTAGCTTAAGTGTAGCTTAAAATCCATGGCAACGATTATTGAGACAATGGGTGCCATGGATTTTAAGCTACCCTTAAATTTGTTGGTGCAAACGGCCATAAGTTGGTTAAAATTAGATCAAGGGTAATTCTATTATTGCAGTTTTTAACTGTATTAATGAGTTTTAAGGTGTAAATCGAGGCTATATATTTTTAATTAACTTGCATTTACGTACTAAACGTACTTGTCAATATCATTTCGGTTGAAAGTAGATAACACCATAAGAATGTATGAAGTAGGTATTATTAATTATAAGTTTGACCCATATTTCATTTAGATCACTTTAACATTCCAATTTGTCAGCATTTAAATCGTTTCTATAACCAGATTAAAATTAGTTTAACTCGTTTTCTCCCCGCTTATACGCTTTTTAGTGTCGAATCTGGGAGTCCAGCTTGTTATATACAGTTTAATTATATCTGAAAAAATTTAACCATGGCTAGCACATATACCACCCACACACCTGCGCGATTCTACCCTTTTATGTCTAGGAATATGTACCTATACCAAATTTGGTTCCAATCAGTTCAGCCGTTTAGCCGGAAATGAGAGTAGGTACAGATGGACCGACAATATAGAGATTTTATTTAATTCGGATTCCTGGTGCTTCAAAACGTGTATTTCCGTCTAAAAAGTGGGGGTCAATGCAATATCTCTCTTACTTTTGGGCAGAATAGCGCATGCGCAAGTGTGGGGGTGATATCTGTGCTAGCCACATCAAATTTTTTTAACGTTAAAATTAGTACCTACAAAATAAGCCCATTTATATTCTGGTTCTGGATATTCTGGTTACTTTAATTTTTTATATCGTGGTCATCTTCAACAAATGCATAAGTTCTCCAAATACAATAGAAGGTCATTTGTAGATCTCTCCTCGGATCTCTCTTATGCCTGTATTGCGTATTGCAGGTGGTAAAAAAGATAATAAAATGATAATAATACAGGGTGGGTTTTTTCATTGTCACCATAGATCTCGTAAACCGCACTAGATGCAAAGTAGCTTAAATAGGCAAATTTAAGCACAATTTTATGCTGATTAATTTTCCCTGTCAAAGTTTCTTGTAGCTCTACAAATAGCGAAGTCCTGAACAAAAAACCCAAAAATGTCGTTTTCGAAGAAACGCTAGGAAACTATTAAATCCATTTTTCAACCGAAAACATCTTTCTCCACTTAAAATGGTTGAAGTTTTTCTATCTCTTGTTTTGTTAATTTTTTTTAAGAAATTTTGATTATTTATGAGCATGCTACATTGTGTTATTTTAAGCAACTTTTAAGAGCGGGCAAAGTGGGCCCCAAGAGCGGGCTTGCACTCCTCTGGCTACGGCTCTGTCTGGATTCCTTCGCAATACTAAGTGTAGTCCAGGACTTGATAGGTCTGTCCCGTGTCGATTTTGTATAAATTGCAAGATAATCGTATAATATGCGCCAAATTGTGCAACTTGGAAAACTCTTTGATAGTGCCAAACTTCGCAATGAGATTGAATTTGCTACCAAACTCTTCTGGTGACAATCTTTTGGAAAGTCTATACTAGGACTGGGATTAACAGCCAACTTCTTACTAGAACTCCATGAATCATTAAATACCTAATAAAATTTAAAATACAAAGTGGCAATTATTATAACAGAAGCAAGCAAAAGGAAGTAATTAATCTTTACTTAGTCAACTTAATTTCCAATTACACAAATACTTAATTGACATTATCTAGGTGTCAATTTCACAAAGGCTACATTCGCCCTACTTGTACCACAATTTAAATTTGTACCTTTGCCTCGATTGAAATTTTGGTTGTAACCCCTAGCTGCTCCTCTAGCAAAATTTTGATTGTAACCCCTACTAAAGTAATTTGGATCTCAACCATTAAACCGCTTACTGATATCATGAATCAAATAATCGTCAATCATCGAATGCGTACAATGTAATTGAGTCTAAAAGCTGTTTCGTTACCTCCTCCTTGCAAACTATAGATGCCGTTTTTAAGTTCAAGATTCACTCCCCGATTGAGTCATCCTGATTCCCTATCCCTATTAATTTCCAATATTCCCTAACTGTGATAATTAGGTAGGTACATCAATCTCTTTTATTTGTTTCCTTCCCTGAAACTTACCTTTTAATTCGTCTATTTATAACACTTTTAATTCATCTAATTTCGTATTCACATGCCCTAAATTACGACGCCTATTTTGTTTGTATTTTTTCTATTTTCCCTAAATTCACTAACATTTTCATAGTCGTTTAAAATCCGTCACCGGTTCCATAATTTTACTGGTCTCATTCCTTATTAAAGGTGCTCTGAATGTCATAATCTCCTGGCTCCTAATTATTTCTCTTCATATTTTTTATTTATTTATTTATTATCCTTCTCTTTTCCTGGGCCCCCAACAGGCTTGCGCCCAATTACAGAGTGACCCGCATAATGCTTTTTTTTAGTGCCAACAGTAAAACCACAAGTATAATTAATTACCTACCTATCTTTGTTGGTCTTGTGTCGCGTTTTAGTTTCAAGAGCCCGACGAATGGCACATTTTGTCCAAGTATTAAAATAATTTCCATTTCCCAAAAGTGCGCTCTAGTAGTTCATTCTGGCAGGTACACCATTTGGTAAACTTTAAATAGAGATATTTCAATTTAAATAAACAAAAAAATACATGACTTTTATTTAACTATGTCTTCTAGGACAACTCGATTTACAAATGATCGCTCAGTTTTTGATTATAATTATAATAATTTGCTTACATGCTTACCTAGTTACTAACATCTTATATATTATTAAATAATATACAAGATGTTAGTAACAGACAATTTTTTTTGCGGGCACCAAAAAAATAAGGCAGTGTACAACCTTCCTTTTTTACCAAAAATCGACTGCACCAAAATTTCTCGGGAAAACACTTTTTCTTATTAATTTTGGTGCGTAGAATCCAAAACAATTCGTACTTTTTCGATCAGACTTCTCAATCAAAAGTTATAGACTAGAAACCAATTTCGAAAGAAAATTCAAAGGGCTGTAACTTTTGAACTAGTACGTATACAAAAAATATTCAAACTTAACAAAACATTTGTATCACAAGGGTAACCAAACTAATAAAATTAAGTAGGTCTTTGAATATTCCCAAAATCAGTTTAATTGTTTTCACTTTTATTTAATTTTCTCGATAAGAATAAATGGAGTTTTGTTATTTCTTAATTATTCATTACCAACCTTGATCAATTACTAAATTTTACTACTTACCTATAAGATTCACTTTTAGGTTCAATATTTACGTTACATTTTTTCATATACCTAATTAAAAAAAACAATTATTGCCAACATGTAAATTAGTTTGATGAATAAGGTATAGGATTGCATGGGCAACTTTGTTAAGTTATTAAAAATATGGATTAAGTTAACAAAAATAAAATATTAAGCTGGAGGTGATTGATCTATTTGGCTCTTGCCCATGTATTGAGGTACCTAGTTTGGTAATCATAAAATAAAAGCAACACTTAATAAAATATACTACATTCTTTTGCTAACACTTTACAAGAAACAAAATTAATACGTTGATACTCAACACTATGCCACCAGTGAGTACAAATCACAGCGCTTGTTGTATAGTAATATTTGGATAGTGCTGCCTCCAAAGGACAACCTAAAACCAAATTGATTAAGTAGCGATTCTCTGCAATATCAACAAACCTGCTCGGGTTTTATTAAATCACAAAAACTTATGTCTAATAGTCGCAAGTTGGGTAATGAAGACAAAATTCTCTCACAAATATCCACAGATATATTCTTCATCCCTAAAAGATCCAATTCCCTAATCTCTTTACATGATCGAATTATGGGCAATAGCAGTTGATCATTAACACCTCTCCAACCACACAAAATTAATCTACAAAGACCTAAAATTAACTGGACCATTAACGGCACGACAAACCTTCGCAAGTGTTTGCAATTTGACGCTATTCGCTCAAGACTGTTACCGGGATCGTTTAAAAGCAGACACCAACCAAGGTCTAGCTCCCTTAGAGACGAGCACCGCGCCAGGAATTTAACACCGTCCGAAGTGATCGAATGTGTCTTCCAGGAGCTCCACATAACCAGATTGGGATTGAAAACGGATATTACTTCAGTAACCTCGTCGAGCCTTTCGAGCAACTCACACAAATCTGAAATGAGACATTACCCAGCCGAAACAATACGCGCAATTATTACCAAGGTTTAAATACTTCAGGTCGCGATTAGCTCTTAAAATTTTAATTAAATACACATCAGATATGTTGGAGCAATACAGATCTAAGGCAGTCAGTTTACTCAAATTTGACAGTGCTTCGTACTCATTCATGTTACATTTACAATTGCGTAGACGTAAATCTGAAAAAAAAATGAGAAGTATGGTAATCGTAACATGGGCACGCAAACCGGTGAGCTCTCCATATTTCGCGAGGTAGCCCAATGACGAAGAGTGACTGAAGCAGTGACCCAAAGAGAGGTGCGTAATGTTCGGGCAACACTTTTCCAAAAATCTACGATAAGGATGTTAAAGTTTTCTGTCACTGTGAGACTTACTCCATGAAAACTGGCTCAGTAATCTGTTTCTCAATGTCGCACCACGAGATGTCTAGTTTCTTTACGTTTCGGCACTTGGTGATGAAGTGCTTCATTACGATCTCATCCACTCTGTTCCAATATCTCTTCAATAAAAAATGTTACTTACATACTGATGGTAAACTATAATAATTAGGCCAGTGAATTCATACATCAAGGATCGCAAACTCGAGCTGCCCTTCTAAGCAAAAAGGAATGTTGCAACTTTGATTTGTGCTCTATCGTCTTCATTCCGTCTTTTTCCAGTTATAAGCCTGATTATTGTGAATTAGGGGATCGCTGTACGAGTTTCTAGATTATTTTTACACACGATTTAGTGGAAGTACACGAGAAATGGTGTTTGAATAACTTCTGATTGCCATCACACGCAAAATTTCATCAAACGTCGACGTTCATTTTAAGCAACTTTTAAAGAATACATTTTTTTTCTAAGATCACGACTCAACGGTTTGGTTCAAATTTTGGATCTGTATATTAGGCATATGGCAACACAACATTTCTATTACACTATTCGACGCTTGTTCTGTGTACAACCTACAAAAATTATGGTAGGTTTTATTACAAAAAAAAGGCAGAAAAAAATGTTCAAGTTAAAAAACTTTAATTGTTTTTGGCAAAACAGTTATTTTGATTTCGTTAAAGTTCTGGCAGTGTTTATTAGACGCAAAACGGCCAAACACTTACTTTTTATATCTAGTTTGAGTTAGGTAACTCTTCTGTCAAGAATTTCGCACCTAATTTTCGTTTTCACTATGGGAATCTCGTAATCCGGAAGAGAAAGTCGCTAATTAATTTTATTTTTTTATTTTTTATTTTATTGCCTTTATTGTATAGTGGGCGGAGTGTTAGCAATTTGCTACTCTTCACACTCAACCCACTATACAATCACAAACAGCCATGCCTTATCTGGGATTCGAACCCAGGACCCTTGTAGCCAAAGTTAGAGCTACTAACGTAAGCTCATCTGAGTTACGCAGGTCTTTTTCCTTTCAAAATTTCTTGTAACTCCACAAATTGCGAAGTTCTGGCCAAAAAACCGAAAATCGAAAATGCGCGTTCATTCATTTATATTCAAAGTGCAAAAAATAATTTTAACAAACCCTTAATGATTTTTTCTCATCTTTCTACATCAACTTTCTTATTTCTTATGGATTTTAACTTCGCTAGATAAAGTAAAAAATTGCAAAAACGAAGATACCAAATACTTAGTATTTCATTCGGAAATTAATCTTGAATTTTTGCGTTCCAGTTTACAATGTATTTCTTATAGCAATCCATGGCTTGCCTAAAATTATTTAACATTTTTGTTTATTGTCTGGAATAGTGTCCATCAATACGGTCATCTAGGTAATTATGACCATAAGAAATACAGTAATAAATAACAATAAGTAATAAATAATTGGTGTTTGTATAACAAACGTTATTTACACAAGTCAAGAAGATAAACAAATAACACAAAGCATATAGAAAAAGGTTGACATGACAACAAACTCTATTTAAGTTATTATAAAAATCAAAAATCAAAATTGTAAACTTAGTTCAATGCAAAAATTCCAGATTAATTTCCGAATGAAATACAAAGTACCTAGGTATTTGGTATCTCCGATTTTGTAATTTTCTCTGTCTCGTGTAAAAATCCAATATGGCGTCCATAAGGAATAAGAAATTTGATATGATTGACTTGAAACCCACAAGTCATAAAAATTTGAATTTAGCACATGTTTCGTTTTTTTTGCCATAACTCCACTATTTCTAAAGACAGAAGAACCTTTGAAAGGGAAAATTAATCAGTATAGAAGAAGAATAAGCTCACGGAGTCGCGTTGAAATTAAAATATTACCTTCGAGTCGTAGCCGCAGCTGTTTCCGAGCTCAGGAAGGGTACTGTCTGCCAAAATCTTTAATCAGATAAAACACAAAAACAAAAAAGTTGCCGTGGCTAGCACAGATACCACCTACACACCTACTTGAATCTGCCCTTTTATTTCGAAGAATATGTGTACCAAATTTGGTTCCCATCCATTCAGCCGTTTAGCGGAAATGAGTACAGACGAACTGACAGGCCGACCGATATCATCGAGATTTTGTTTCATTCGGATTCCTGCTGTTTCAAAACGTGTATTTCCGTCAAAAGTGGGGGGCCATTTTTTACCCCAATGCAATACCCCCCTTACTACCGTAATCAACACCTAATGGAAAGGAATAACTCGAATTACTGTAAACTAGCAATAGCAAAATTTTGATCGACAACCTGAAACCACGCCCACTCAATAATAAAGGCAAAAATCAAATAAAATACACGGGCAAATGTGGAGACATTTGTTGAAAACGTCAAGATAAGCACTTTACAAAGTCATCGTGGTTGTTGTCAAAACCCTAGGGTTCTTGCCTGAACTATTATCACTGAAGGTTATCGTGGTTGTTGTCAGGAGTCAACCAATAGGAAGCCAGGATTCTCCCTTTTGTTTGACATTGCTTTAGTGATCATGTGCATCCCTCAAAATTGATAATCAATATCTCCTTGGGCTATGCCCGTCGTTAACCTATCAATAAAAAAAGCCTCCATATAATGAGGACCTAGACGCAGATCTCAAGAATGCCCCAATGTCCCCAAAATCGCTTTAGTTCAGGAAAGAATCACATGATCCTCAGTGGGTTTTTAGTTTAGCTTAAGACAACAACCACGATGATCTTCAGCAAAGATAATACTACACCTTTGCCTTAGGCGAGTTTAATATAATTCCTGCGCTAAATCCTTTATATGCCCCCAATAATCCCTTCGACATTGAAAGCAGCGTACATAACTCGCTTGCAGGTTTGATCCTCGGCGATATTAGTTCAGGGAAGAACCCTACCGTTTCGTTTAGACAACAACTACGATGACCTTCAGTGACTTTTGAGTTTAGACAAGAACCTACTCAAATCAGACAACAACCACAATGACCTTTCAGTGACATTAGCTCAGGAAAAAGCGCTAGTTAGTTAACCATGATGACTTTCAGTTAGTTTAGACAAGAACCAAGCTTAGACTTGGCGCGTGCACAGATTTCAAGGTCAAAGTGTTCAATATGCCGCCATAAACAGAAAGTCAAAAGACGTCAAAACCGGAAACCTAGAGGTCTATATGTGTCAAACCACTCATTTTCAAATAAAATACGTATCAAGCTTACTTCTAACTACGTTATAATTGTAGGCCCGAGTGCCATCTTGCTGGTACCACACTGTAACGTAAATTTAATTACGTCGTTTATTTATTTACAAATAATTAACAATAAATTTATAACAGGTTTGAAATGAATTGATTTACAACAGTACAATACTATTTATCACTTACGAATAGACAATTTATCACAGCGCGAATTATTTATTACTTCGGCGTCGTAATTGGAACTGAACTGAATCATAATTCGATTTGCTTATATTGTCGAAACGTTGCCGGATACTTCCGAGATTTTCTAGAATGTTTATTTCTCGAAAAGATTACGCACATCCGCCTTCGTTCTTTATCGCCGATGACTAATTTTTCATGGCACCTCGATGTCTATGGAAAGTTCCGGAATGTTCATTACAATACTTTCATCCACTGTTGAAGAGGAAAATGGCAAATTGTCAAGTGCCTCGTCCACAGCTGTGTTCAAAATTTCATCTATTATTGGATTTTTAATATGCGTACAACTCTTCCATTACTGACTGACAGCGTACAGCCGAAACTGGGTCCGTTAACTTGGCCCCCCACTGAGAGATTTGATAGTCGTATTATTTTGAAATGAATGCGCTCGTTATGCGCTCATATGCGCCACCGATAATAACTCTTGCGCCATTATCGTTTTTTAGAAATCCGAAAAAACATTTAGGGGGGCCAAGTGAACGTAGCCCCCCCCCCCCCCAGTACGTATTTTGTCCTTGTAACTAGGTCACCTGATACATTTGGTTATGCGCTCAATTGCGCCACTTGAATTAAAGCTAGCGCCATTACGGTTAAGCCGTGACAAATTTTCAAAAAGTGGGGGGGCCAACTTAACGTTTTTAAAAGTTACTTTTTTTTAACATCTTTTCATACGAAATTGTACTCTCAGGTATGCGCTGAAATGCGCCGTAAAAAGATATCTTTGCGCCATTATTGTTTTTTGGATATCCTTAAATATATTTGGGGGGGGGGCCAAGTGAACGGAATCCCCCATAACGCATTTTGCTACCGGTATTTGTGCCACTTGATACATCTGGTTATGAGCTCAATTGCGCCACTTGAATTAAAGCTAGCGCCATTACGGTTAAGCCATAAAAATTTTTAAAAAGTGGGGGGGGGCTAACTTAACGTTTTCAAAAGTTACGTTTTTTAACATGTTTTTTCTACTACATCGTACCTTTCATCATGCGCTAAAATGCGCCGTAAACAAAAATCTTAGCGCCATTATAGTGTTTCAGAAACACTATACAGGGTGTTTTTTTGGGAGCATTAGTTAAAAGATTCTGGGAAAGTAAAATAGGTAGGTTTTTAAAAATTTGTATTTAGGAGTTACTCCGAAGGCCGAATCGATGTAAAATATTTTCAAAATGTACGCACTTCCGGAAATAACTTTTGAAAACGCTAAGTTAGACCCTCCACTTTTTAAAATTTTTTTATGGCTTAACCGTAATGGCGCTAGCTTTAATTCAAGTGGCGCAATTGAGCTCATAACCAGATGTATAAAGTGGCACAAATACCGGTAGCAAAATGCGTTATGGGGGATTCCGTTCACTTGCCCCCCCCCCCCCAAATATATTTAAGGATAACCAAAAAACAATAATGGCGCAAAGATATCTTTTTACGGCGCATTTCAGCGCATACCTGAGAGTACAATTTCGTATGAAAAGATGTTAAAAAAAGTAATTTTTAAGAACGTTAAGTTGGCCCCCCACTTTTTGAAAATTTTTCACGGCTTAACCGTAATGGCGCTAGCTTTAATTCAAGTGGCGCAATTGAGCGCATAACCAAATGTATCAGGTGACCTAGTTACAAGGGACAAAATACGTACTGGGGGGGGGGGGGGCTACGTTCACTTGCCCCCCCCAAATGTTTTTTCGGATTTCTAAAAAACGATAATGGCGCAAGAGTTATTATCGGTGGCGCATATGAGCGCATAACGAGCGCATTCATTTCAAAATAATACGACTATGAAATCTCTCAGTGGGGGGGCCAAGTTAACGGACCCGCCATAACTACTGACTGGGAGTAGAAAGCTGAAATTTGGCATGTAGATTCCTTGGAGATTGAAGGGAGCCCCAAGATTTTCCCAAATTTGTACGAGAACCGGAAAAACGGGATATTACGTTTTCAAGTCGAATCTGCGTACTTCCCGAAATTCCCACGGGAACGAGAAAAAGTTGAATTAAAACAGAGGGTAATGCTCGTTTTACATATTATAGGTAATAATCTAATAAGTGAATATGGTGGATAATAAAGCACATTTTCCACATGTTGGAAGGCGCTATTATGACCTCTTTCCCCGTCCACCCTACTCCCACAGTTTTAAGATATTTAGTTTCTTCCTTTGGCATTCGATAGCTTACAGTTCTGGCACCTGAACCAATAAAAATCTTGATGATTAATAGGCGCATGCTCAGACCGCGCAATTCCAAATTTTTATTTATATTTTTTTGAAATTTTAACCACAGATGCTTCCAGTAAAGGCAAGCATATCGCATATTGTAAAAATCAGATGTGCACAATCCCAATTTTCATATTTATGTTTCTACTAAAGAAAAACATAGCGCACAGAGCTAAAGCCTTTTGGAAAATACTGATGAATGCAAGTAAACCCTTTTTCATTTTTTCAAAATATTACCAAATTTTGAAAAGCTGTATCTTCAAATCCAATTGGCCTATATAGAAATATGTGGTTGTTTAAATTATTACAAAACTAATACCACAGACAAAATACTGACGAAGGTGGTGATAGTGGTCCTTGTTTATTGTGTGTTGCTAGTCGTATCTCACATAGGGAATCTGTCCCAGGTTCATCTATAGAACAATTTACCACAAAGTTAGATACCTCGGGAACAATTATAGGCGTCGATACATATCTTTAGTATGTGTTAGGGGTATATTTCTCAAATTGCATATTTTAAATGGTACGTATATGACGAATCTAGCTATTATCTGGTTTTTGGATATGCAGACTCATATGTAAATGACTTGTGGAGTTTCTAATAGATATCTACCAAAACCAGGTGCCAAATTCTTGACAGAACAGTTTCTTAGCTAAAAATGGTAGATAGTAGATACCCCACTAGTTTGTGAACTTTGCCCTTTTTGTGTATAACTCCACTGGCCTTAAAACTTACTTTCAAACTAATTTCCCGATAAAGAGTAGGGTCAAAAGTGATGGAGTGCCATCGTTTATTAACTTGCGCACACCGACACAAAGACTTCAAATCCAAATACTGGAAAATGTGCACCATCACCTCAAACTGTAATAACACAGTTATGCTGCTCGTGACAGTAATAGTCTTACAGGTAAACTTGCAAACAAGTCAAGACCATCCCCTCCTGAATGAATTGGGGTACATTTATTAACATCACACTCACAACCATCTAAACAATCAAAAAGACCTTTCTGTAACAGCTCACCCTGCAGTAATGATTTAGGTTGATACCCAGTTAACAGAACTGCATCCAACGATGTATAATAACTTAACATGCTCTGATTAAACTCGATACGAATCTCGCTACAAGAATCCAATGTAAAATGTGTTCTACTCCAAAAAAAACTTACTTTATCAGTTCCTTAACTTGTCTAATGGGCGGTGAAAACCGTCTAGAGCTAGGTAAGCAAAGCTGAGGTGCACCCTGCCATAACAGCACCCATGGATTGCCCATTTTATGACCCCAAATCCGTACAACAGCCCCCGGATTGTAAGTCTCATAAATACAGATACTTTCAGGAAACACACCGTGCTTAAATCTACATAGATAACTTAAGAATCAATTCAACAGCCGTCACCAGACCTAACAGTTACGAAATCTTCAGACGGTATAGGATCGACGTCTTGTGGCATATAGGCAGGTTGAGCTGCCTCGCTCTGATTCCACCAGCTTCCGTAGGACCGCTGCAAAGCTCCCGTTTAGTATTAACAATATTAATAGGTAAACTTACGAGAGTGTAGCTATTTGGGTCGTCCCCGTAGTTGGGATACTTGGAAGGTTTGCCCGTTAAGTTTTCCGGTGCGTAAAGAATGCTCGAAATACTGTTGTAACGTGACGAGTAGCTTGTAACATTTTCAACAAATTGCTCTAAGAAGATCATGCCACTGTAAATGAGTTCTAGGCTTGATTTTTTTGGTCCCTCGTTTAAATTGCTCATTTTTGTTGATTTAGAGGTTGAAGTTTAAAAGTAAGGTTAGAAAATGTGGGTTCGTATCTTAAATATCCAGTGGCGGCGACTGTGTTATGGGATACAAAAATTTAATTTGATTGGCATAGAAAGTTGCTCTGATTTAAATCGTGATTTTAATCGCAACTTAAATCAACAGATTTTAAAAGATGATTGTTTTAATAATATGTTAATAATAGTCCTAGTGCTGTTCGATCTTATACCTTCCTCTTCATTACTACGTACACTCATCTCTCTTCCTTGACATCGTAAATCATCTTCATCTTACTTCCTTCCTTCTTTTACTTACACCAAACACTACATGATCCAACCAATTTATCTCTTTCTTTTGTAATTGGTGTCCATGAGTGATTTGCTTTCTCCAACTCCTTCCAGCACTTCCTCGTGTCAATTAATCTTCCAAACCTTTCTCCATATCCACATATCCACATTTCCAAAGCTTCTATTCTTTCTTCGTCCTTCATCACATGTTGTCAATGCTTCACAACCATAAATGGCATTAGCACTTTTGCTAATGTCTCTCCCTTAATTTGATATCCAGTTTGCTTTCGATCTAAGTACATCCTGTACACCTTTCTGTATATGCTTGTTTTTCCATTTCAGTAGATCCAGCTTCTCTCCTCTAACGAAAACACTACATCTTCTTCTTCACCTTTAAGTACTCATTTTGGTGTTAATTTATCTTCAAGCCGTTCATATTTACTTTCCATCTTATCAGGTTGTTGCAACATTTCTTTCAGTTTCTGCGATATGTTGTCAGCAAATTGATTCAGAGGCTATACTTCCAACGCTAACTCTCATAGTTCCATCCGAGCATTCTCCTATCATTTGTTTGGCACACTTACAACTTGTCAGCACTTCTTTTTATATCTAAGAATATGTGCACCAAATTTGGTTTAAATCGGTTTAGTCGGAAAGGAGAGTACAGACAGACCGACCGATCGTCATCATTTTGTTTGATTCCCATTCTTGTTGAAACCAACAGTTTCTCACTGATTACTAACGATTTCTAATCGTTTTTGAAACACCCCGTCATCCGAACCAAACCTTTTTCTAATGCGTTCTTTATGTAATATTTAGAGTACGATTGCGTGCGTTGAACATTCCCATAATAACTCAGTAGATTTTCTATTTGACACTTTAATTTAACCGCTGAGTTTTCTGCCCATAAGGCAAACATTGATAACAGTTCTTTTGAGACAGAACATGTACCTAATTGTTAAAGGGGTTGTTGAAAACTCATCATTATTAGGTACTGTTTATAAATAGTTATTAGTTAGCATACAAAACCATGAGCACTTAACACTTTGGAGACCATTTTCTAAATTGTTAATAAACTTCGTAGGTAGTAAATAGTTCACCCCGTTCTTATATTCTACGGTAGCTTTTAGCCAAATAAGATGGTACGTTTCTGAATAGTTGGGACAAAACGGTAATTTTGACGTTTCCCGGGATTTTAAAGTCTTGTTTTTTTAAGACGACTATCAATCACGAGCTTGTTATAAAAATGGCTATTTGGAGTGGTTTCAGTTTCTCCTAGGAATTAGTTAATTTTCGTACATTTCGTTTTTCATCGTATGGAAAACCAAATGGAAAAAACAATACATCTTCTGGCATCTAAAAAATAAAAATAGTTGATCATCACTACGCATTTATGAAACCGCATTTATTCGTAGTGAACAGTTTCAACAAATTAATTTCCTAAAATAGAGCTACCTTAGAATTAACATGTTACAGATATACAGTGTGATGGATTTTGCGTGTCCAAGCGTATATTTCTTTTATTATTTTAGATAGCAAAAAAGTGTAAGAAACAAAAATACTCTACCTTCAATTACTGAGAACGCTAGGTACGTATTAAAAAAAACAAGTGATATAAAAACAAAAGAGCATCAAAAACAAATTCATTTTTTGTAATAGAAAGGTTACCTACTTTTTCCTTTAATATTCTTAAAGAGCTTGAAATTCTCTTTACACGGATATCAAATAAGTATCTTATAATTATCATCTTACAAATTAAATCTACAGTGATGTGTTTAGAACCAATCGCAGTAGCTGTGAAATTTTAAACAGCTGAAAAGCAGTTACAGAAATAATTATAAGTTGTATATTGTTCACTAAACTGATTTTGTGACATATACATGACAAGTGGAAAACTCTCTTTTGTTTTTTTTTAAATTTCCACAGTTACTCGATTGGTTTTAAAAACGTTACATTTTTGATATCATTGTAAAGAGAATTTCAAGCTCTTTAAGAATATTACAGAACAAAGTAACCGTTCTATTAAAAAAAATTTATTTGTTTTCTGATGTTTTTTTGTTTTTATATCACTTGTTTTTTTGAATATGTAGCTTTATCAGAAATTGAAAGTAGAGTATTTTTTCGTTTTACACTATTTTGCTATCTCCAATAATAAAAAAATATACGCTTGGAGCTTGGACACGCAAAATCAATCACACTGTATGTGAGGGAACAGTATCTTCCATTGAAATAACAACTCGTAAAACAGTTATATACAAAAAACATATTGATTAAGGCGCGTTCTCACGAGTCAAGTTTAGTTGACCAATTTTAGTTGATCAACAAAAGTTGAATGAAAACTGTAGTGAGAACCTTTCATTCAATCGAGTTGATCAACTTTGTAATTGATCAAGAAAAGTTTGACCCAAGCAAACTTTTATCGTTCCAGTGATGAATCATCACGAATTGTTTTCAAACTGAAACTTGTATTGAAACGTCTGAATTAGTAATTACGCAGTCAACTTTTGTTGACTGTGTTTAGGCTATTAACCATTAAAAAATAGTGGAAAACAATATGAGCCTCAAGTGGTCTGAAAGTATTATGATGAAATTTTTGTAAATGAATCCCCTGTAGCTAAATATCTTAAAGTAACTTTACTTGCAGCTTTAATCTAGGTCGGATTGGTCGCCTATTGCAGCCACTTTCTCTGTCCGTCCGTCTGCCCGAGGCCTTAACTACTCCTACAGTTTTCAAGATACTTAGTTCGTTCTTTTTGCATTCGGTAGCGTATCGCTTTGGCACATGAGTCAAGGAAAATCTTGACATTTGAACTGCGCATGCGCAGGCTACGCAATGTTAACTTTTTTAATTATTAATATATTTTGTTGAAATTTTAATCACAGATACCTACTTGTAGTAAAGGCAAATATATCGCATATAGTAAAAATCAGATGTGCGCATGCGCAAACTGCGCAATGTCACCTTTCTTATTTATGGAGATATTTCTTTAAAATTTTAACCAAAGATGCTTATAGTAAGCAAACGTATTGCATTTTGTAAATATCAGATTAATAAGCGCATGCGCAAGACGCGTAATATCAACTGCGCAGTAAGTGTCAACTTCCTTATTTATGAAGATATTTCTTTAAAATTTTAACCATATATGCCTCTAGTAATGAAAAACATAGCGCACATAGGTATGGCCTTTGGGGAAGTATTGATCAATTTATGGAAAATGCGCTGAAGTTACTCGTCTTAGGGCGAAAGCCTTTTTACTTGTTTATGACATCCTACACTTTTGACAGCAGCTCCTCAAATTTTTCTTCGGACATCCTTAAATGATTTCTATACCCTTCTTTATCCTCTAATGCTAGCTCCTTCAACAATGTTTCTGATGCCCCCCATCTATTTCTTCTTAGAATCCACTGCCTCACCCAAAACCGACGTTTCTTACGCCTTTTGTTCAAATTATTAACAATTCTTTTCAATTCTTCTTTTAACAAAACAGTAATACCTTGAACACATTCACGCACAACCGCATTCGACGCCATTTTTACATTGAACCATTGATTCAGTTTTAATTGAAATATGTGAACAAAATTCAAATTCAAGTTGTATTCAACTTTTGTTGATCAACTAAAATTGGTCAATTAAACTTGACTCGTGAGAACGCGCCTTTAGATTGTATTGAATTCCACACCCCTACTTAAGTAATTGTTGTTTTTTCCGGCAGAAGGAGCAATTTTTTCATCTTATGGGCTTAGAACTCAAACGAAAACACATTGCGAAACGTGTTTAAATATAATTGTCCAGGCTATATGATATTTTTTGACAATCGAGTTAGTTCTCGGTTCAAACTGGGTTTTTCATGCAGGTGCAATGATTAGAAATTGGGGAAAGGGAGCTGAATTTTTCCGCAGACGAAATCCAGGTGATTGAAAGGGGTGAAAAAATAAAAACAACTTTTGTATTACTGCACTATTTTTCGCGACCAGAAAAACCTACTTTTTTCACAAAAATTAGAATAGAAAACGAGAAAAACAGTTTTTCCGGTTTTTTTACAGGTTATGGGAAAATAGTGCAGATTGAATTGAATTGAATATTTTCGCCTAAAGTTAATATTTTTGTCACAAATTGCAAAACACTACTCTCCACCCCTTTTAACCCCCGGGATTTCGCACACGGAAAAATTCAGCTGTTTTAATCCCCAATTTCTAATCATTTTACCTGTCTGAAAAACCCGGTTTGGATCGCAAACTTTTTTTTGTTTAATAAATTATTTTAGAGCTATTTGGCCTGAACTATAATACAAACCAATAGTATCGAAATTCAAGCCTTAATCGCCTTTGTCCTTTTTTATAATGCTACGACTAAAAGTGTTTTCATCATTTCTGCAAAATTTATCAATAAACGGGTAGGTATACGAAAGCGCAGAAGTCATTTAGTACAAAATTATCATCAAAAAACAAAAATTGGGGTACACCTGTAACTGGTATCCCTCTTCGTAGCAGGAAGGTTAAACGACGTTTGATTGAGATTCACTCTGGTGCCAAACAGTTTCTTTTTTCTAGCGCCGTAGGTTTTAGTAATACTTTATTCCCGAAATCGTCATGAAATTTCCTATGTCTACTACACTACAACCTATGTCAAAGAAACATTCACACTAGACTCCAAGAGATCAAAGTCAATTTTATCAGAAATCAATAGCACTTCCAAGTACAGAAGTCCAAAATCGTTTACAAATCCCTGTTAATAATTGTGAAGTGACCGATAA